GTTGTTGAAATTTGCTGAAGAAAGGAAGGCACCTAAGGAGAGGGCTGATGGTCACACTCCTCCCAGATATGCAGATCACAATCTCAGCCTTTTAAATAATCTTTTTGAATTCCCCAGATTATGACTGGTTATTCTCCGCAAACAGAGATATCACTATATCCTGCTGCCTTCTCTGAAAGGCAGCAAGAACAGAAGAACAGAGCTGAAACCCACAGGCTGACCACCAGGTGGGTCACAAATGCCCAGTTGGCTTCACTTCTGCTGGAGAAACTCATTGAACTACCCTTTGGATTTGATAATTAGAGCCAGACCTTCCCCAACTTGCCAGGTAATTCCTCTCGCCCTCCCTCAGCCTCACCTCTCGCCTCCAGATGCCACCAGGGAGCTCAGGGGGATGAGCTCCTGGCGGGATGGTCCTGCAGGACGCCAGCCTTCGCCGAACCTGCTTCACAGTTTTGCTCAGCTGCCATTGGGAGAGAAGACAAAACAAGTTGGTCAGGAGCCTTCCACAAGGGCTACGCCAATTTACCTGCACAGAAGAGACCTCATGTCCCCCTGCTCCAATGAAGGGACTCAACACACAAGCTCCACAAATGTTACGGTAGGGGGATTCAGGTTATGGTTGGACTTGATGATCTTCAAGGCCCCTTCCAACCAGGATAATTCTATTATTCTATGAAATACAGGAAACCTGCAACCCCAGGTGTCCTTCAGAGCTGCCCAATGCAACAAGACCCCAATTCCAGCCTGGAAATGCCTTGGTTACAGCTCATTCACTCCCAAACCACTTGGCTGAGATACCGGAAGTCCCGGATCCCTGATTGTCCAGCCAGAAGGGATTCTCCAACCCAAGGGAAGCCAAGCTTCAATCAGAATAACTGCAGCTCCCAGCTCTAACGTGCTTTAGAAATCCCAAATGCAGCACGAGCATCACTACTAAAAAATGGACTTTACAACAGGTTTTCCAAGATTCCATGATCCCATATTCCTGTCTGTAGATGAGCTGCAATAAGGTGGCACCACCTAGTGCCACCGCTCCCACATAACAGGCTGCCAAGTTCAACCATCTAGTCCTCCAAGAAAACATCAACCACCTGTTCTGATGAGTGTGACTGAGGTGCACCACCATGTTTAGTAAATCAGAGTGAAAAGGTGAGGCAGCATTTCATTTGGTCTTTCTTCCAAGTTACATGCAACAGGACAAAAGGAAATGGCCTCAAGTTGCCCATGGGAGGTTTAGAATGGGTATTAGAAGCTTATTCCCCAGAAGGGTTGCCAAGCCCTGGAACAGGCTGTCCTGGGCAGTGGGGGAGTCACCATGCCTGGAGGGGTTTTAAAAGCCATGTAGATGTGGTGCTGAGGGACATGGGTTACTGGTGGTTGTTGTTCAGCCTGGAGAAATGAAGCCTCTGAGGAGACCTTAGAGCACCTTCCAGTACCTAAAGGGGCCCCAGGAAAGCTGGGGAGGGACTTTGGACAAGGGCAGAGAGTGATGGGACAAGGGATAATGGCTATAAACTGGAAGAGGGGAAACTTGGATATCAGGAATAAATTCTTTCCTGTGAGGGTGGTGAGACACTGGAACAGGTTGCCCAGGGAAGCTGTGGTTGCCCCATCCCTGGAACTGTTCCAGGCCAGACTGGATGGGACTTGAAGCAACCCGGTCTAGTGGGAAGTGTCCCTGCCCATGCAGGGAAGTTGAAACTAGATGACTTGTAAAGTCCCTTCCAGCCCAAACCAGTCTGTGAATCCATGATTCCATGTAGCCTTGGCAGTGCTACATTCATGGTTGGACCTGATGATCTGAGAGGTCTATTCTAACCCAAAAGATTCTCTGGTCCTACGAGGACACTCACCTGGGCAGCTCGCTGCTGGAAGGGCTCACTCTGCCCCTGCTGGGTTGGGCCACAGATGGTGTGGGGGGGGCGGCCCCGAAACAGGCACGTGTCCTTCCTGGGGGGCCAGCGCAGCATGGAGCCCGAGTAGCACAGAGCCAGGCAGCTCTCCCTCTCTGCCTGCAGGGACAGAGTTACAGAGCCACCAGCCACCTTCCTTCCCACCATCGTCCCATGCCACACAGGAGCTGCCAGCACAACTGGGTGGCACTTCTTGGGAGGGATGTTTTGCTGAGAGGGACACAAATTCCCCATAGGGCTGAAGGCAACTTCCAACTTTCCCTTGGGAGCAGAGTCACCTGAGGACATCCCCACTCAACCGAGCCCTGGAAACAATCCAAAACACCCCAGAAAGGCCCAAAACCATTGACATTTTCAGCGAGTTCCCTTCTCAGTCTCCAGAGAGTCTCCCTGGAAGTTGCTTAAAAGTAGAAAAGGATAAAATATAATCTTAGGATAATGTAAAACAAACCCACAGGGGGAATGGGAATGTGAAGACAATGTGGAAATGCTGCTTGAGAGGAAACAGGATGGGAATGAGCCACCAGGAGACATCTACAACACTCCCAGCTCCAGCTTGGCTGTTTTTTAACTCCACACAGTTACGCCCAGGACTCAGTTCTGCTGCTGCCCGAGAGAACCAGCGACCTTTCCGCAGGGAGCCAAAGGGCTAGTGGAGCACCACAGCTCCAAGGTGCCCCTCTGACCCTGCTCCAGAGGACATGGGACTTGCCCATGGCCACTAGTCCCCTTCTTTTTGCTTATTAACACCTTGAGGTCCAGTGGATTATTTTCCCAACTGATGTTGTTCCCACGGGTGTTTCCTGCTTACCACCTCACAGGACCTCTGCAGCTGCTGCTTCCTCCGCATCCTGACCTGGTGGTTCACCCGCCGCTTCACCTCTCCCTGGAAGTGCCTCAGACCAGCTGCCTTCTCCTGCTCCAGCTCCCTCAGCTCCTCCTCCACCCGAGATGCTGAAGCCTGTGGAAAAAAATCCAATCCAACAAGGCTCCTTCTACCCAAGTGTTGCTCCATTGCAGCCCTGCAGCAGCTTGGAGCCCACCTTCCCTGCACAGATCTCTGTCTATGAGCCAGGTGAGCAAACCCAACACTACTTGGTTTCAAAAATCACAAAAACACATACATATATATTTTTTAATATAAACATATTGGCCTGGAGGAGACTCAGGGGGAACCTTCTCACTCTCTTCAACTCCCTGAAGGGAGGTTGTGCTCAGGTGGGGTCTGGGCTCTTCTCCCAGGCAACCAGTGACAGGACAAGAGGGCCTGGCCTGAAGCTGCTCCAGAGGAGGTTTAGGTTGGGTATCAGGAAGCACTTCCTCATGGAAGAGGGTGATCAGACATTGGGATGGACTGCCCAGGGAAGTGGTGGAGGCGCCATTCCTGGAGGTGTTCAATAAAAGGCTGGATGTGGCACTTAGTGCCATGGTCTGGGGATGTGGGGGTCATGGCCTGGACTTGATGATCTCAGAGGTCTTTTCCAGCCTTGGTAATTCTGTGATATTAAATAAGATCCAACAACCCCACACAGCTTCATCCACACCTGAAGTTCATGTGCTAGGGAGGGACTAGGAGCACCCAGCCCTCCCAGTCAGGAAGAGTTTGGCTGCCCCGTAAGTTTTCTGATGTCAAAGTCATGTGGAATACGGAGATGATTCATTTCCATATATTATCTCAATCTTTCAGGATTTAAATTTCAATATGGAAATAAATCTTGGCAGAAGGGCAGGAGCTTCTGTAATGTTCAGACATTAATTACAGGGGACTGAACTCATTATCCTACATTTAATGCACTTTTAGTCCTCTTCTAATAACCCTCAAAGCAGGAATCCCCGCAATAAGCAGCAATAAAAATTTTCATAAGTGTTTCTAACAGGAGATTGACTCCAGACCTGGAAATATTCAACTTATTGAGTTAAATCCACTCGCTGAACATCCTTTATTTCCAAATTTGGTGCTGATAACCCAGGGAGCAGCTGGGAAGAGAAGGGAAAAATTGATGGGTAGGCAACAAAACTGTGGAGTTTTACCCATGCTGGAAGGAGCCTGGAGCTAAAACAGGCCCAAATTAACAGCACAGAGCATGATGCACAGATAATAAAGTCATTAATTAGAGCGCTGGCTGGATTTTCCATCTGATGGTTGAAAATTTTGTGGTTTTCCTCAAAAAAAGCAGCTTACTTGAGGGCAATCAGCTCAAACAGAGATGCTGGCCATGGTAGTGGCTTTAACCCTGACAAAAATCATGAAAATAAATTATTTGGTGTAGAAGCAGCTGCCTCTAAGGGGGGATAAAGCTCCAATCACCCCTGCTGGCACAATGGGAAGGTGGGGACCCCCTGGGCAGGGCTGAGGACCCGCAGGTGACACTCACAAAGGCTGGACCCTGCTGGGGTCCCCCTGGGGCACTCTCCACCCAGATGCCCACCGGGACCACGCTGGAGCTCCTCTGGGCCAGCACACGTCGGCTTGGGCCGGAGGGTCTCGCTCGTCGCCCCCCCAGCTGTTCCCCAGCCCCCCGGGGCTGATCCTTGGAGGGGAGCAGCATCTTGGCACCGCGGTGGGGCCGGGCCTGGGAAAGGTGTAGAGGAGGTGAGCAGACC